CCTCACATCCGCTCCAAATCCTATTGCGGCGCTCTCGTGGAACCCTGATGGTCCTCCATTCAACCATGTGCATCCTGCCAGGGGCAATTTTCGACTCTCTTGTATCCGCACGATTCCTGCCATAAACCACTCGAAGCTCCAATATCTGCACTCGAACCGTGCAGCCTGCCGTTCGAATTGAAAACGTGCGGCCCTTTATAATAGCCAGATTTCCTTCCTTCCGGGCCCACGACAATAATATTTACGGTTTTTCGCCTAAATTCCAATTAAGAATGGATGGCTTTAAGTGCCCCGCCGACTTTTTGCAGGACCTATTTTTACCGCAGTGTCCTGGCTCGTCAGCGTTAAACGAACAAAAAAGGACGAAAAACAATATTCCAGCGATTTGAGCGCATCTAAAAAATGTATAGGCCACCTTCGCATGTGTTGGCCACTGCCGAGCAATTAGAGTTCTACAGCGGCTGACCGCTGGAAATGCAACACGGGATAAAAAGAAATGCACAGCCGGAAATAGCGCTGGGAAAAAAGCGGAAAAATGGAGGAAAACAGCATGGGTGAAAGGAAAAATGCACAGCAAAGTAGAAAATCGCACAATCAAAACGAAACTGCTGACCAGCATCGATCTCTGACGACGACGAATCGACGAATCGGGCTCGGAATCGAAATCGGAACGGCAATGGCAATGGGAATCGGAATCGGAATGGGCATGGATACACTGAGAGAAAATCAAAGCTGGCCCGCAGTGCGCTATTCAAATTGGTTTTCACTGATAATGCAGCCACAATGCAAAAAAAATGCCTACTTTTAGACACCTGCATGTGCGTTTTCATAGCCTTCGATTAAACTGAATGCTTGACAGTTAAGTTAGATGGAAGTTGGTAAAAGAAAAAGCAAATTCTTTACGGGGTTTTTGGCTATATGAGCGCTATTTAAAGCGGATAGCCTGTGTTTGCCACTGTGCAATGGAATGGCAACCGATTTGAGAGCGCTGTTGGCCATTAAAGTGTGGACGTTGTCGCCATCGGGAGATGGAAAACGGGAATCCGTAAAGGAGGCAGGGCAAGGAGCTGCCGGGTGAAACCCGCAGCCGCAGAGTCACCGACATGGTAAAAATTCATGTTTACCAATGTGTCCTTCGAACGGTTCGATGTGTGTGCGAGTGTGTGTTGTCCTTCTAACTTGTGGTGCGTTGTCCTATTTACGTTGTCGTACTTCATGCATTTCAATCACCAAGCTCAACACAATTTAAATATGCTGATTGGGTGGCTGAAATTTCGTTTCGGCTCTCACCAGCTCGCCAGGGACAATGTTTTGGAGCCCATTTAATGGGGCTGTGTCCATCTTTAATTGGCTTTGTTCATCTTGTTGCTGTACTCAATGCCCATTGGCGAGCGTGTTGGCGGTTGCCAGGTTTCCATAAATTTTGTTTATTGATGGGCCGCATCGAGTCACCGCATGTGACATTGCTTAGCTGAGAATAATTAATTTAATTTCGGATCGGGCTTTTTAGTTTAAGCTTTCGTGCACTCTGTTGACATGCGAAATGGCTTTTTATAATTGGTTTATTTCGCAACGGTGACCGGGATGTTCCCCCTTTGGTTTTGCGGCAAAGTGGTGCTTGAAATGGCAGCGGAAAATATAAATACGCACATGCTAAAAATATGTTTTTAAGATGGCTGAGCTAATTGCATGGGCAGCTTAGTTTTAAAAGTATTGCCATACATTTAATGCCAGATTAAAGCATACAACTTCAAGGATTTATGTTCATGTGTTTCATCTTTATAAAACAACCTATTATAAAGCTATCTGTTTCAATCAATCTAAGAGAAGGAACGACTTTTTTAAGGCGATCCCACGAAATCCATTAAATCTCAAAACGTTGAGCTTTTTCTCCATTGCATTGGAGAATGATCCAAATATACACCTCTGATTTCCCCCGACAATTGAAAAAGGAGTTGGCTATTGGGGGATTGGTGGAAAATTCGGCGGAGGCGTCGCCGAGCTAATCTGCTCGCTGTCAAAAGTCATTGAAACAATTCGAAATGACAACAAATATGGAAGTCGCACAGAGATACAAAGCAAACACCTACATGCACACACACACAAGCTTGTATGTAGTGGGGGAAATCTGCCGGGGGGCGGGGCTGAGTAGGAGATTGGAAAAACTTGGGTCGAACGAGAAGCGAAAACTGCTGACAGTTGCATAAACAATAAAGGCAGACCCCCAAAAAGCGAACTCAGCCAGCGAAACGATCCAACGAATGCGGTCAACATCAAAAGGAGGATAAAAAAATGAAACTAAAGGAAAGGGATAGGAAAGGATAGGATAAGCGGAGGAAGGGACCATCGAAAGCAGAGCAAAACGAAACTGGAACTATTACTGCCACTGCAACACACATGCAACGTGTGGCAAGTCTGGAGCTGGCTACGAACCACCCAAAGCACCCAAAGCACCCAAAACACCCAACCACCCATCGCCCACCCTCATCTCCATGACGGCTAGAACAACAATGTGACATTTTTTCCACTTTGACGACAATTTCCCTCGCGGCACAAACGGCAGCAGCAAAAGCAACAGTAGCTAGTTGCCATCGCCACTGCCGAATCTAAAGCTAGATGGCAATGGAACTTAAGGATACAACGGGAGTGCAGAGTCCAGAAAGCAAAAAGGGAATTCCTGGTCAGTGGGTAGCAGTTTTGGATGCTCTTTAGTTGGATGGCTACGAATAAGCTACTAAGGATATAGTATAGTATATAGCATAGTATAGGTATAGTTTAGGATAGTATGCTAAGGATCAGCTCTGAAAAAAAACATGCCAGTGGATTTCATTTGCTATAATGTGTAAGCGATGGTTATTTTCTAAATTAAAGAACAATATTTATAAATTTATTAACATTGATAGCATTTGTGCATCACATGAATTAGTAACGAAGAAGTTGTCGGAGTGCAGAACTATTATCAATTCAGCAGTCAGCACAACCCATTTGGAAGAGCACTGCGGAGGAAAGTCCACAGATACAGCGGATGTGTATTCACATTCACACGCAATGCCGCTCGGCAAGAAGGATGTGCGAGGAGATCTTGCAGGACTCGCCGTGGTTCTCCAGCATGCCCGCCTGCCTTGGCCCATGGATCACAAAAGCACGAAATTGATTGTGTAAATAAGAAAACGAAATTGTCGTTAGTTTACGTTTTCCGCTGACAAGCTTTTGAAACTGGCCAGAACCAACGACTGAGGACTGTGGAAGGGGTGAGGGGGAAAAAAAAGGGGTGGGGGGGGACTGGGAATGTAGTAGCAAATAAAAGGAGATGAGGCAGGGACCAAATGGCGTTGAGATAGACAAAGAGTGCGACGAAATTAAAAATGGAATTTACTCGTTAGTCGCATTTCCAGTTTATTGCCAACTGACTTTGATGCGAGGAATTATCGGTGAAAAATTGATAGCTGCTGCTCGAAAGGAATCCGATTGCGATTGCCAGCGAATAGAGTGAAAAATTTCACAAGCAGTGACAATTGGCAGACAGAGTGCATCAATAAGTCAGATATGTACATAATCTGAAATGCATTGTAAAGCGAATGCTTTATGAGGACGGCATTCGGTAGATGCACATATTAAACTAAGGCTGCAAAGGAAAAGGTTTAAAAGAGATAACACACCTACCGTAGAAATAAAAACATAACAATACAGGAAAGTATTTTGCAAATTTTAAACTTTTTCAATCTTTTTTTTGAGAAATAATTATCACAGCCTCTACTGTCACAGAGCTTCATTTTCAGCAGTTTACTTAAGCCCTTTTATCAATCCAGCGACCTTGGCCACAACTTAAGCATTGTAATCGATTGAAGAAACTTTATGAAGAAACTAGAAGGCGGGGTGATGAAATGGTTACTTTGAAAAGCATGAAAACATAGGAAAATGGGAAGTAAATAATTTATCTATCCTTGCCCTGTTTTCTGCGTTTATCTTTGAACCCATTTTGAATCGCCAATCGGTCAGTTGGCTTTTGAATCGCTTTCGGGTTCCCATCGTTACGTAGCTGAATCCCAGACGAATATACACGGCATTTAGCAGAACTTAGATTATCACTGGCACAAAGATTGCGCACTTTATAAATATTATAATATGTTGGTTAACTAACCAGTCGATTTCAAAATTGATATTTCTTAGATATCGCTTTCCTTTTTCGAACTGAAGCTTCAGTTAGATTAGACTTAGATCTAGATGCGTTTCAAACATTTTTGGTGCACTCCAAATAGGCTTATTTTGCAAACTAAATCCAGTGCCTATTTCGATTTTAAAAATAATATATAATTAATAACATTATTATAATATAATTTATTAATAATATTACTATTAACAATAGCTCAAAGCTAGTTACATTTTTCTTTATATGCACATGTGCATATCCATGTCGATTCCCTTTCGACGCCACCAATTTCCGGCACCCGCTCAAAGATGCCTTTGTAGCTTTCCCAGGGCTTTCCACACCCCGTAGTCATGGCTAGGGCTACTTACGCCCGCCCCCACCTTCCAAATTGAATGAAAGCACATTTTGATTGAAAAGGAAATTTACGGTGAACTTATACAGACACAAACGGGAGCCGCAACAGTTCGCAGGACCTGGGGCATGTCCTGCATGGCTGCTTTAACAGCCAATGTAGCGTTGCCCTTCGTAGCTCCCGGCGGATTTATCAGTCAATTTTAGAAAATTAGTTAACGGGTTTGCCGGAAACTTTTCTTTTTTGCACGCCAACTTGGCCAACAAGTTCGCTTCGCCCACCAAAAAATTTAAGGCTCAATGTCCACGAAACAGGGAAAACGGGGCAGGGATTTCTTTGGTTTCGTTCCACAGAAACGAAAAACTCTAGCGTTTGAAGTTGATGCCTGAAATTAATTTACGGTTGGTCAGGGGAAAGTTTGATAATTAACCTCAACGTGCACTAAATGTAACCCAAATTTAAGGTTCCATAGCAAAGAAAAACAAATTTATCTTCTAAGATCTAAGAACTTTATTTCACATGGATAAGTTTAGGTATTTTGCGATTATGAAATACATAGTGCGTTTAAACTAAATCTACTATATAGACAAAGGTTATTGTAATCACTACATTAATATTAATGCATGTAAGCATCCTTTAATTTGACTACAAATATTTCTACTTGCTGTGCATAAATGTTCAACAAATTGTTATAATGCCAGAAATCAAACTATAATTCTGTTATTTTTGTGCCCTCTGTGCCCTGAAACCATTACGAAACTTATAAAAATAATTTAAAATCATCGCTTGCGTTCTACATTGATTCGGTAATTTGTTTACGGTAATTATTTATATTTTAGGTACATCTTGACGTTTCTGACACATAAAATGTATATGAAATATATATTTTCTTTAATAATTGATACCGTACAAAGCACATTCATTGAGATATATTTGACCATGTTTGAAACTATTGGTGATTTATTGTGACCCTCTGTTTCGACTCTTTATCCTTCTTATAACGTATCCCTGCAAGTTCCCTTATTTCATTACATTTTTGGTTAATAAGTCGCCATATTCTTGTTATACTTTATGTATACGATATACTTGTGCAGCTATATTCACACTAATAGTGGCTTACGCGAAATTTTTTATAAAAAAGGACCATTACTATTTTCCACATTCCGTATTTTGTTAACACCTTTTATTTCGTATGTACGAATTTAGACGTCAGGGTGTAAGAATAAACATATTCAATTTTAAACAGTTAATAGCAAGAGCTCGATCGAAGAATACTTGAGGAAGCTTTAAATAGGTTTTCTTCCGATCGTTATAGCGTAATATACAGAATATACAGAATAATATATATAATTCATTTTGTATTTAGTAATTCTGCAGCATTACAGAATCGTATAATGTTATTAACATGCCAGTGCTAACACAAAAAAGGTTTGGAAATTCACTTCATTCACATCTCTACACGCATCCAAGTCAGCAACCATGAATGTATCTTATGAGACACAATCCAAAAGTACTTCAATCGGCTAGAACCGACTGCACATACATCCTTAGAAACTAGGATGGCATCTGAGGAAATACTGGAGAAATACCTTTACAATATTAGAGGACTCTAGTTCTTTGAACTTTTGGCTGCTGTGGCCAAATTGTTTGCAGGTTCTTGCAGTGGAACCCATTGAGCCGTGGCATTTTTGGCACGAAAAACTTCTTCAAAAAATATTTTTTCCTCGGTGCGTACTTCGGGAGAGTTTCCAATGAGAGTTCGTCCTAAAATTTCACTTGATCCTGCAATATACATATAAATAATGATTACTTTTACAAAAACGTGCAACCTTTAAGATATTAATATTGCATGTAAAACTATCTTCCGACATTATCAAGGAATACACAAGAGATGACATTTTAAGACAAATTCTACAGTGATATCCAATATAAAGTGTTTTCAAGAGTCGTTTAAAGTGCTCAAAAGGTAAGCGTTTACCTTGAAAGAAACATCTCAGTATAATATGATATGATATATAATAAAATCATTATTTAGCAATGCAATAAAAATAAAACGTAATCATTTCACTGCTTACCCAACAGACCATCGTGGACCACGGTGAATTCTAGTACACAGTTTTTCAAAGTCTCCTTGGCCACGTCGAAAGCAAGAGCCTCATTGTAGACTGGGTTCAGGGTGCCCCGTTGAACACCCGTCTTGCGCTTCTTTATCTTCTTGCCACCGGGACCGAGGAGGGTTACCTTCACATACGGATCTGAGGAGTTTCGGGCATCGTCGACAATCCGCAGGTTTCGTGCCTTGATCAGGACGACCATCAAACGCTCCGCTGACGGCAAGTAGGCCAGGGACACCATTATATCCCCCAGATCCACTTTCATGTCTTGGGCCGAGGCAGAACTAAGAGGCGTCCACAGTTTCAACTGCTCACTGAGATCCAGGTTGGCCAAGTGCAGCTTACTTCCGCCGATGCAAACGTGCCGGGAATATGCGTCAAAGTCGTACAGTAAAATTTCCACGGTGCGCTTGTCAATTACGCCGGCTGTTACCTCGAAAACGAACTGCTCGTCGAAAACTGAGAGGGGCTTGGATATTGAAGCAAAATCCCAATGGAAGTACTCAAAGCTATTCACCTGGATTCAGGGTCCTCTTGTGTATACGCGTCTGCCAAAAGTTCTTTTTATCCGGCAGTAGGCGGACCTTAGCATATGGGTCGGCAGTTCCACTAAACTGCCTCGGTTGCAGATTCTGGGCCTCCAGCAGTCGCACATTTAGCAAACCTCCAACTGGATCGTAGCCAATGCTCACATGCAAGTTACCCCGAACTTCGTTGAGTGAAACTGGATTGAGGGTCTTCGGCTGGGAATGCTGTTAGATAATAGAAATATAAAATACATATTTTTAAAATAACAACGCCCTTCACTCACACTCCTATACAAGGTCATGTCGATCTTGGTGTGATCCAGCTTGGCATTCATGGAGGAAACTCTGGGCCGGCTGGGATGCATGGCCAGGACCACATGCTTATCGGACCTCGCGATTGGCACCGAGGTGGTGGAGCAGTAGGACAAGCTGTTGGACTTCAGGCTGCCGGTGGGTGATGTCGGTGTGGGCGGTGCGGACTCCTCGGTGGTATTGGAGACTTGTTGCTGGATGGCCGCCGTGGAGTTGACGGTGGCCGGCACCCAAAAGGCCGGGTCATTGTCCTCGCTCTTCAAGGAGGTGGGGCTGAGGTTGCCGGCATTTCCACTGCTGTATTTCCCACGCGGTACCTCGTTTACGTTGTCCACATTGTAGCCCACGGCACCGGCAACCAAGGCCTCCCTGCTAAGACGAAACGAAAAAATTATTCGAAGGTTAGTATCAGCAAAGGTGGCCCAACAACTCAAACTCAATCTGGCACAGCTTTAAGGCGGGTTTCCCATAGGAATTTTTCCCAAATTTAATTTTCCCTTTGGGATTAAAAAAAATAAATTACAATAAAATAAGAAGTAGAGAGGGGAATGCGCTTATATTTAGAATGAGCTACAAAATATTATTTAACGGCAAACAAAAACATTTTTCATGAAGTGAGAGTTGTTTTTGCCTTTTCCATTTTCAAAGTGTATTATTTTAAAACCAGATATTGTTAAACACCAAATCATGCTCCATTATCAATTGCATTGGACACCCATTAGAATGAGCTACAAAATATTATTTAACGACAAAAAATAGTTTTCCATGAAGTGAGAGTTATTTTTGCCTTTTCTATTTTCAAAGTGCATTATTTATGTATTTACTTTTTGAAACCAGATATCGTTAAGCACCAAATCATGCTCCATTATCAATTTCATTGGACACTCATTACAATGAGCTACAAAATATTATTTAACGACAAAAAAATAGTTTTCCATGAAGTGAGAGTTGTTTTTGCCTTTCCATTTTCAAAGTGCATTATTTATGTATTTACTTTTTAAAACCAGATATCGTTAAGCACCAAATCATTGTCAATTTCATTGGACACCCATTAAAATGAGCTACAAAATATTATTTAACGGCAAACAAAAACATTTTTCATGAAGTGAGAGTTGTTTTTGCCTTTTCCATTTTCAATGTGTATTATTTTAAAACCAGATATTGTTAAACACCAAATCATGCTCCATTATCAATTTCATTGGACACCCACCTCTGCTGATCTTCATCCTTTTCGTTGGCCGACTCCAGGAGATTTTGCTCGAACCAGTTGAGGCGATAGCGTTTTGAGCAGGTGGTGTAGAGGGCTGCCCCAACAGCCGAAACAACAAGGAATGACACGGAGGCATAAACGCCAATTTGGGCCAAAGAAATGTCCTCCTCACGTATGACAATGTCCATTTCGCCGGCTGAGCGTGGGTCTGGAAAGAAGAAGTAATGTGAAAGAATGTAGACACTCTTAGTCCAAACACATGAGATGGTAATGTGGTTCAATTACTCGGCCTGACCCGGCATCGACGTACACCTGCTTAATGATACCCTATCTAGCCATAAAACATTCATTAGCAAGTCAGGACCTCGGGATGTGTGTCTCATAAATAAATCAAAGCCTGGGACCCACGTTCGACATTCATCTTCTCCGCTCCCTGGCTTTGTGGGTTATTAATTGACCGGCTTGAGGCGGTGGTGTTTGTGGGGCATCGGCACCACAGAATCCTGACCACCGGCACGTGCTCACCGCTACCCAGCAGCTTCAAGGATCCACCAGGAGGCTAATTGAGGTGCCGTGCTTTGTCTTTCTCAGACCGCAACCACACAAAATTGCCATAAAGGCGACTCGGCCTCGGTTAGTTCGCAATTAGTCGAGCAAACTGCCGTGACCCTCATCCCTAGAAAAATCCGCCAAATTACACTCACACTTAAAACAAAAAACTGGCGTAGAATGTGCGTCGTTAAACCTCCTTCAACGCTGCACAGTTTCATGGTTGCGCTTTTCCTAAAGGTATGTGATAATTAAAAGAAAATAAAACTTTTATCCCTTAATTAGTTAAGGATTCAGAATGAGACTAAGCCAAGGAATGATGCAATAATTCATTATAATACCACTTTAAATATAATTCCAGCCGCTATTATATTACCAAGTTACATTTACAATTACATTTAAAGGAAAAAAGTATTTTCATTAGGAAAAAGCATATTAAAAAAACAAATATAATTTGATAGCCTCATAGTTTCAGTCCAATAAACTAATAATTTGAAATTGTGAAAAATTACACACACTATTAACATAAAATGTGTATTTTTCGTTGTAATTACAACCATTCTCCGTGTAAAAGCAATGAAAAGAGCGCAGAGAACTGCCAACAAGATAAAGCGTGGTCTGTTGAAAAAGCAAAAATTTATAGCCGACTGGTTAATTAATTAGTAAATTTATATTTGAAAGCCACCTTTGGATGAGACCTGCGTTTCATTCCTTACCTCTGACCCTTTCCCTTCCCCTTCCCAACCACTCCACTTTTCTGGCCAATCTCTGCAAATTTACTTTTCGCTCATTATTTATTTACGTCTAACTTTTGTTTTGGGTCTACGCTTTCTTTTATGGCAATTGCATGAGGTGTGTATGCGGGTTCAATTCCCTGTACCTCCAATTCCCTTCTCCCATCTCTTAGTGTCTTGGAAAATCTGCGGGAAGTGATTTATGTGCCCTGATGTGCAAATAAGTGTTGGGGGCCTAATGGGCTGCCTGGAAAATTTATGAAATTAGTTTTCATTTAAACTTTGACAGTCGCGAAGATAAGCTGAATGGCCTAAGACAGAGCAGTAAATTAGTTAAACATTTCGAGTATACATTTCCAGTGAAATCAATTTCCCAGTCAATCGCCCCTAAATCCGCCGAGAAATATGGCAAAATGCCAGCCTGCTGATATCACCTGCCGTTTTTCAGCATAGGCGGCTCCTCGCTTTTGCAAATCACACATAACCCAATCAATGTCAAATTGAGCAGATCGCTCTGCCACACCCACACCATCAGTCAGTCATTCAGTCAGTCGAGGTGTCCTTTTGCGCCGCCTGCGCGAGTGTCAGGATGTGAATGTCAGGTCATATCCTGGCACTCGTATCTCGCTCAAAATGTGCTACCCTCACTCAAAAAGGGGTTTGTGATGTTGCAAAACAGACTCAAAAAACGCGCAGCAATTAAAATATTGTAAAAGAATTAAAAAAATTAAAAAAATTAAAAAAATTAAAGCTGTGTGTTGAATAAGCCAAATATTTTCCTCATAGCTCATGTCAGCCAAAAGCTGTGAAAGAGTATTTTACAAAATCTGTTGCCGGTTTGCTTTTTGAGCCTGGCATTGCCCACATTCATCATTCACACGTGTTTGTGCCTGTGGGCATAGGGATTTATTGTTACTGTCATAAATTTTAATACAAAACCGCGCTTGGCCCTTTTGGCCCGAGCGTCTGGTTGGTAAATTATTTGGCGGCATAATCGTGCACATTTTCACTTTTCGCTGGAACCCCTAGATAAGACCGCACTACTTCCGCCTGCGATTTTGTTTGCGTCGCAGCAAAGTCAAGGGCAGAAAACGCGTCCCTCAAAGGCCCCTAATGTGTGGACCGAGCGACTAAAATTAAGTTTATCTAATCGATAAAACCGCCGAATGGTTCATTGAATGCCTGGGAAAACGGTGAGTGTGTGGGCCAGCTCACTCCCGTGATTTGGCCCAGCTTTGGTTGGCGATTTCATCATGCGCGCTAAAAAAATTAATAGATTAAGATGCCTTTCAGCCACCGCAGAGCCTTTGAATAGCGCAATTATGGCAAATTATGCTCATTAGTCTAATGAAGTGTTTTGTGACTCAAAAGCTCGAGGAATGGCCCCAGCTGCGGGTCCAAATCCACGCCCTGCTGCTTTTGCAAGGAATGCGGACAATTGCAGTAGTCGGCAGCGCAAATACCCTATTATTCTGTTAGGAATGAGTCCGTTTAGAGGAGAAACTCTTTAAAGTAAAGAGCAAGCTTGTTCACGTGGCAAGCGGAAGTAACTTAACTCGCACACAGCAGCTCATTTTAAAAGCCAGCCAAGTTGCATTAATCTCCCATTTCCTTTGACTTCCGGAAGTACTTTGCCCCTATCCCGTTATCCTTCCTGCCTTCCGTAGCCATTGTTTGGCTTATCCTGTCGCAGAGCATTGCGGATACATTGGCCGAGTACTGGATGCACACCTGTCCCTGGCAACAGTATTTAGATTACGTCGAATCCACGGGAATGCGCGTGTTGCTGTTGTCCTGGATTGCACTAGACAAAGAGGACAAAACAATGGTAATTGCAAACAGCACTCGCAGAAAATATTGCTGCTTGCATCAGCTCATTTACACAAATGTTTCATTAGAATATTACAAAAAGAAAAAAGTAAAATATATGTATACTACTCGGCAGTTACTAGGCTATTTACTCTATGCAAAATAAATAAGCAAAACAGAAAGGAAATTTACCTAAGCCATGGAGTTATTTGCAATGCTATTTTTTAGCCACATCCACTTTTGGTTATCGATTTGGTCGGCTTGTGCCTCCCAAACTCTGCCCAGTTGCATAAGCGAGCTTATGAAGGCTCCAGCCGACCTGGAATCCATTAGCTCGTGTCCTTCTTCACCTGCGTTGAAGTTTCATTTGGTTTAAACCCAGCCAGTGCAGTTTATACACGGTCCCTGGAGCAACAGATGAAAAACCTTCGGCTTGCATAAGCAAGCAGCCCCAGCTAAACTAATATACACGGCACGAGGGCCACAATGTCCTCCAGGATCCGGAGGTCCTGGCCGTCAATAATCACGCATCAGCAATTTGTTATACGCGCCAAAGTGACACATTCGAGGCGCTAGTTTGTCCACATCGGCAACATCATTATCACTTCTGCCCCTTTGAGTGCCCGCAGTATGTCTGTTTTTGTTATTCGAGTTGATTATCTGCCACCGAAGGCAACGCGAGTTGTGGTCCTCAATGTCAATGGGATCAGCAGGGCAAATTGGCGGCTGACCCCATCGCCGACCCCGCTAATTAGCCATCAATGAATATTTATAGCTTATGCGGGGATAAAGGGATGTGCTCTAAGCAGCTGAGAATTGGCAAGGAACCCGGGCTGAGGCAATAATCATTAATAAACCTTTCGAGAAGAGAAAAAGCTGGATACTAGACTGTTATGCCTCTTCCAAAGATGCGATTAGGGAAATTGTGATTAGAAATCCACGATTTGTAAGACTAACTGAATTCCTAGAAGATATTTAAGCCGAAAGTGACAGCACTTTCATATACAAATACATTTTCTATGGCAAATAGTCTTTTTTTCCTCTGCAGTCATTTAAAAAGTCAAGATCAACTATGAGTATGCCAGGAAGCGAAATCCTGCCAATCCTTTCACTCTCATTCGAAAACACGCCAAAGCCCTCCATATGCGATAAAAGTGGAATAAAAGATCCCATTAAAATCAACAGCCATATGTCAACTCGCCACAGGCCATTAAACCATGGGATCCGACCGGCGGGACACAGAAAATATTGAAAATAAAAATATAAGAGAGAAAGCGGCGAAGGCAAGATAAACAGCAATTTAATAAAGTGACCCAAAGTTATGCGCCTCAAGTCTAAGGGCGGTAGCATAAAAATAAACAATAAAACGCTCATTAAAACGCTGAAAATGCCCAAGAAGTAAACAACGGAAAATGTTTACATGCGCTCTCGGGATGGCAAAAAAGAAAAATAAGAGCAGAAACATATCCTGGGACAAGTGTGATATTAATACTTGTGTTTGGAACAAAGGGAAACCCGCTCGGCAGGCTTTGTGGCTACATAAAGGAGCCAATGGTGGTGGGTCACAGGCTAAAGAGCTGCCAATAACTCAACAAGTTAACAAACATGGCTGGCTGCCTGTGAGCTTCTTTATGACCTCGTCAATTTTTACTGTGGCTTCTGGGTTCTGGCTCCTGGCTCCTGGCGACGTTTTTGCATTAAAAATGCATTAATCTTTGGACACGGGATAAATATTCATGGCCTTACGGCCAGAGATGTCTATTATAAATGCACCTCTTTAGTGCAGCCTGTTGACTGCCTGACACGCAATATCACAGGTACAGGAAATATATGACGAAGGTCGCTCGATTCGGCTACGGAATGGAGGTCGAGGGTCACGGCCACAAGCGGGTGTTTCAAAGACATGGTTCTTGTGTTTGAGTGGCTGCCAGCGTGGCCAACGTGTCCTGCCTTCTCCAGCAGCTTAAACAGGCCGCGTCTCAGAAATTGCGAGCGAAATCCTCGCTGTCTTTTCAAACGGAATACGGAAAATTGAGGGAGGGATGCCGCACATGTTTGGTGTACATTTTACAAACGCTTTCTACTAATTAAATTAAAATACCTTTGCTTTGAAGGGTTTTATCGCGCCGAATGCACAACGTGCTCCACGTGGCGTATACGCAATGCAATCTTTTTAATCAGCAATCAACAACTCTCGCTGAGCGAAAGGGAAACTCATTTTCCAACGCAAACAATTTTCCTCAAATCTGATTTGGATCAAAGGATGTGACGATTTTCTGATATCACATTACATGCGATTTAAGGTTTAGGAAGAATTTAAAACGTGAAGGCCCTTAATTGGAAAGTATGCTGAAAATTAATGTAATTGTTACAATATTAAGGCAAATGTATTGAGTATTTAATGTTTAAGTGAAACTTTCCGAAAACTACAACAGTTTTGAATTGCTATCCTCAGCTAATGTTTCGTTATTCAACTATTTCACTCAACATATTTCCTCAGAAAGTCGAGCAGAACTTTTCTCAAAACGAATTACAAAGAAAAATACACTAGTCCAACTTTTACAATAAAAGTTTGTCAGCTTACACTTCCTTTTTCGTCCAGAAAATCAATTTACTGGTCCAACAAGTTCGAATTACATTCGCTCGACGAAACCATTGTTCAATAAAGATTTCAGTCGACTTCAAAGCAAACAAAACCCATTAAATATTGAATGGCTTGTTTTCGAGCGTGACTTAACTATTTTTGAAAATTATAACTACGCACTCGTATGTAAATTGAGTTCACACGGATCAAACAGCTGTGTCAGCACTTACCCCTTGTATATTTGCAAATCGGTGACACAGAGCCGGACAAAAATGTGCAAACAATTTTGTTATTGAAATTGCTGCATGCAATTCACCGCAACAATATGTTTACGAAATCCTTTTGACGGTCCAACGTGGCGTATGCGCAATTTGCTCTACACAGAGGAACGCATATTGTGCGTGCTGTGTGTTGTTAACGAGTTTTCGAAGCAATTTCCTTATCAGCGGGCCTTTATTAATTTTTAACTCAATAATCCCCTGCGCACACTGGTCAATTACAACAAATAAATGTTGCCAAGCAAGGAGATAACTGGAAGCGGCTGAATTTCCCCTTTTCTTCGCTTCACGCGCCTCAACAACTTGGCCAGAGCGTTGCTGAAACTCGACTGTGTTGTTGTTCACCAAAAATTACACGCAGTTACCCGATGTCAAGTTCCATCACACTCACACTCGCGCACCCAAAACACAGATGGGCTATGGAAACACCACACACATGCAAATGGGAAACTTCGAGTCCTCAACGGAAACGTCCGTTAAAATCCCAAATTTAAAAAGTTGTTTGATATAAAATATAGTTTCTTTTTTTTAAGCCAGTACATATAGAGTAGCAGGTAATAATTAACTGTGGTCCGGCGTTTTAGCCAAAAAGTAATGCAACTACCGGAAGGAAAAGCCTTCTTACACAAAAGCTCCCCAAAGAGCAACAGCTGGCCAATTTTGTAAAAAGCCCGCGAAATTCCAAACGGTTAATACTTAGACCTTTCCAAAAAGCTTTTTAGAATTTCAGTTAGTTAAGGCGTTGCCACCTTTATCGTTATTTAGAGAAATTTATATATTTGTAGCTATCACATAATATTATTATCAGTATAATTGTGTTTACATAAGAAGCAAAATTAAATAATATATATTTCTTACATATGCATTGCATTTATTCATAATGAGTTGCAGTAATCGTTATCTTTTTAAACATTTATATTATTTCTTCTCCATGTTGTGCAAAACGAAATTTTGATTATGGCAAAAGAGAAAGGAATACTAATAATATGTATTTTTTTTATTAAACTTTGATATAAGCTTATTTTAGAAATGATTTAGCTAGTGAACTTTGAAAATGAGCTTTAAACAAAAAATATAAAAGGAAACCAATGAATAATCACCCATAATTCTGTCCGTGGACTTGACAGTGGTTTTTAGACTTCCTAGTACTATTTAGCGTTATCTAAGCATGTTTGCAAAAAATCGTCAGACCTAAATTATAATCTCTTTCCCTACATACTATATACTAGTAGAATAGCTCTAGACAATTATTCAAATCTTTTTGTCACAAACATTTGCGTATTTCCAAAAAAATTTACGGAAGCTCACGATCACGCACATTTAGAATGATAACCTCCTATAGCTGAATTAGATTATGCCTTTTAGTAGCAAAGTTAATCTCAGGCTAATGCTCAAAGATATTTAATATGGCTATATCTAGTATCTATATAGCTCTCTGTAAACCTCAAAGTCAAAGTCAAGTGGGTTAGCCCAGTTAAAGAGCTCATTCAGCTACGACTTTGAATATTTTTGCGGTTTTAAGTTATTATTTAACGTGATGATGCTGATCTTAACACTGATATTCTCGCATATTAGATTACCAAATACCACACATCAAACTTGAACTGAATTGAAAATAATAAATGAATAATACCAATCGAATCGTGACGCCTTAAAGTTATTTTTTAGAACTGTTTTCTTGTTGTTCTTTTTCTTTGAATAATATTTATGTACTGCGTAATTTGAACTATTTCCTTAGCTCTGCAATATTTTCTTTTTATAAATACAATGTACTGAATTAGTGAACTGCGTTCTGTCTGGAATTCAATAAATGGGAAATAGTCTGAATATTTTCATCAGACCTTTTGTTTCGTAACAATTATTGATTAAACGTACTCGCTCCATGTCAAATAAAAATCTTTCCCGTGGTTCAAATAGTTCAAAAGCGTGGCATAATTTTCAAATCCATTTCAATTTCAAGTTCAAAGTTGTAGTGAGCGATAATACCGAAGTCATTATCTCTGTTCCCATTAGGCGACTTTAAGAACTTAATACAAGCGTCACAGTCTTGACACGAATTGTGTTTTTTGGCGGGTTAAAACGAATTTAAATATTCAAATCGAATAACAGCAGGCTATTAACCCAAAATGTATTTTGGTTGCCTTAATGACTGGCGATCAAACGGTTCGAGTAGACGCAATTGATTCGCCCGATGCACGTTTGACTTGCGCCAATAAATCAAATGTAATGCTGATAAGCGCGTTGAATGCCTCCCTTTTAATAATTACTGGCCCATTAAATTCATAAGGTAGGTAGTAATTAGCTCAGTGAGCAACCCGCTTCCAAGAGAAATATATATAAATTATGCTCGTCTCTACGAGCATATTTCGAAATTGACTCACATGCGTTTACATAGTTGCACAATCTCCCAATCCCAGTGCAACGCCTAGCCCACCCATGAATGTGATTGCAAACAAGTTTTATGTGCATATATAGTATAGAAACCGATCTGTAAGAGCCTCGTTTCTCTGGACCCGAAGTCTTATCAGCGTGCTCGATTGATCGACTCACGTGTTGTCATTTATAAAACGATTACAATCTAAGGCATGAATGACACTCCAGTACCGGTGGCTGAGCATGAAAGACACTCAAGACCCCAAGTAAAACTGGAACTGAAACCGGCCACGCAGAACTCAACTTGAATCGCCTCCCGGCTGTCTGAAGTGATCGGGCTGCATTACAAATCGTTGTGTCAGATATAGGTAAAAGTGAAAGTAATTCGCACTTACAACATGTCATCTGCGTTGACCAACCTCTTGCAATCGCTGAGGATTGTGCCCTTGGGCCATGGAAAGGCCAGTAGCCAGGTGGTCGTTGTGCCGAGCAAAAAGGAACGGCCAAAGATGGAGGATCTGCCGGAGATCACGTTGGAGGAGGTGGCCCAGCACGATAGCTTCGACGACTGCTGGGTGGTAATCTACGACAGAGTCTACGATGTGACGCACTTTCTGAGGGATCATCCCGGCGGCGACGACGTCATTATGGATCACGCAGGACGGGATGCCACCATCGCCTTCCATGGCACTGGCCACTCTGGGGATGCCGTCGAACTGATGAAGGACTTCTTGATCGGCCAACTTCCCACCAAGCAGCACATTTTTCGCACTGGCAAAAACAAGGTTTTGTCCCTGGGCATACCGGAATAATATAAAGCCAGCCGATTTTGCACCGATCGCCTTCGCCGCCGTCCTCCATGTCGTATATGTCGTATATATTTTTAGAGTATTCATCGACTAGTTTTATAGATGCAATCAGCTTATTGCGAATTCCGCCAAACGGCTTTCGCTTAATCATCAAAAACCATACAGCCAACTATGCATGTTATATACTTTTGCTAAGCCTTGAAACGGATCTAAGATTAAATTATTTTTATTGTGCGTGTGCTCTTTGATGTTTGCCACTTGCTGATTATAACAGTTGGTTGGGTTCGGCTTCTTTGAGTGTTTGAAACAAATTCTTCGCTGACAGTTATCAGTGCAGTTGGCAAAAAGAGGTTTCCAATTTATTCGGAGTCTGTTTCTGCGACGTACTCTCTACTTCAATAATACTTTATTCGTTAATATTCAGCTTACACATATGGGCTGACAATAGGTAAATGCATAAATAAGAAATGCTTATGACAAAAATAAATATCACTGAACAGATTTTCACTTGGCTGCTCTGTAAAGAGGCTCCTTATCAACCTTCTTTCGTCTGACTAGTACACGATTATTTGGCATTTTCATTTTCTTTCCCATTGACTTAAAAGTATTGCTCATTAATGGATTGCTTATCAGTTGAACCCTGGCTTATTATTTAACTGCTGCTGGTCGGTGGTTCGTTGTGAGGTCCTTGAAGGAGGGCCTGCAATTTGGCAGCCGCCGGAAAGGCGCCCAAATCAAGTGGCGCTGCTCCCGTGGTGCTTTGTATGTAGGCCAGTAGTCTAAAAGCATAAATATATCTGTTAATAATTCTGATTGAGCATAGCAATGTATTGTGTTACCTTCTCAACTCCTCGAGCGCGTTTTGCTGCATCAGTATGTAGTTCTTAGCCAGCAGCAAGGTGGCTATTTTCGACAGCTTTCGCACGGAAGGTGAATGGGCATAGGGAATCACGCTTCTCAGCTCATCGAGGGCATCATTCAAATCGTGCATCCTGCGTCGTTCCCGGGCGTTTATGTTCAGCCTCACCGTCTTTCCTTGGCGGTTTTTCTGCTTGCCACTGCTGGAGCCACTTCCGCTGGCTCCACCACTGGACACGGCCACCGTGGTGGTGCCACCACTGATGGCAATGGCTGCGATGGCGGCGGCCGTGGGACTCAGTGGCTTCTCCGGAGCACTGGGACCAGGCTTGTTCTCATCCGTCGGTGGCTGCTGGGACATGCCCATTCCCTGGGCATAGAAGCCACCCAGACCCACCGATCCAAGTGGAGTCCGACGGCCGGGCACGCTCTGTGGTGGACTGGCGGTGGGTGCTGGATGCTGGCCACCTAGCATATTGGCGGTGGGCGGTATTGGCATGTGCCCGTGGTTGGGGAGACCGGGAAACCCAAAGGCCAGATTCGAGGGATCCATTTATATTATTTTAGGTAGCTTTTCCAGCTGTGAAAAAAAAGGTTGAAGGGATGTGTAATCTTTTAGAGTAGTCCTTGCGTCTCAAAATTGTTTTGTTGCAGGGTTGCATAAGGATAATATAAATAGGGGTGGAAATGAACGCTGCTCGGTAGCGCCATCTGGCGGAATTTTATGTACGTATTAAGTTGTCAAAGCTTTTCATAGGTGGAGCGCCTATTTTGTATATAAAAAGACAATAGTTAAATACATTTTAAAAGCATCTTAGGGAATTCATCAAACTTATTAAAACCGACCACAATTTTAGCCTTTTTTAGATACAACAACATAGTAATCCGTAATCAGATTAAAAAGATAAACTTTTATTTCCTAAAGCCTTTCATAGGTGGCGCTGTGCAGTAGACCAATTTTGAGGGATGTTTCAATACGATGTTCCATGGCGATTACAATTTAAGCGGTTTTAAAATTATTAAAGAGCCCAGCACTTTAGTAAACAATAAACTTTAATATTTAACGTTAATAATGTATTTGGCAATTATTAGCCCAACGAAAGGGATTATCAAATATGCAAGATCGCCGCAGCACTGTATTTAACTTGCAGTTAATTCATGACACACTTAAAGGATTATTCATTTAAATTAACCACAAATCACAAGTTGGCCGATGCACAAAGGGGACGAGGAGCACAGAGCGCGGTAAAAGAAATTGCGGACTTAAACATTTTTGAAAATCGCACGCACCACAAACCAGGCAAAAAATTAAAATGCGGCTGCTGTGTCAGAGGATTCAGATCCTGAATCGCAATCGCAATCGGAATCGATGCGCGAGTGTGAGGTGCCCGGCAACAACAGAGACGACCGCGATTTTGTGGTGGGTTATAGTAGTCGCATAACGATTTTCCGATTTTTCTCCGCTCGCTCTCTCTCTCCCCCTCTCTCTCTCGCTCTCTCGGTTTTCCAAACGCCCCGTCTCTGTCGCTCTGGCAGTCCGACGATTATAAACTTTTTGCCACCGACGCCACCGTCGCCGCTTGGTGTTAATCTCTTTCTGCAGAAGGAATATTATGAGCCACTATATAAAAATGTGGGTCGGGTGTTGACGCCGGTGGTTGACGTTTAGTGGTTGGGCTCGCATAAGGCAGCATCCACACCCATACATACAGCAGGACTATTACCAATACTCACAAAGGTGAATGAGTCACAGTTTCAGCACTCACAAAAATAAATGATTGCTACGCGAAACCACAATATTTTGTAGCATAAATTGAATCGGATTTCGCAAAGTTGATAAATTGGTATTTGCATTTCAAAATGGGATGAAAAAATAAATGAATATATATTACTATGTAATTCATATTATAAATATACATATATATTTACATATTTCAGGTTACATATAAAATATTTCGCTTAACCTGAACTTTTAAATTTGCTTAATAATTATTGACTTTGACCACCCCAAACTTTGTTAAATTGGTGAATATTATTTAGTGCTGGCACATTTTCTCCCGGTGTAAGAAGTTTTTAATGCCTTGCCCTGTCTGTCCGAAAATTCATTTTTCTTGTTGTTCAGGATTTTTATCGCTTCGCTCCTTTTCAACCCTGATGGCCCATCACCACCCCTCGCACCCTGAATCCGCCAGCAGGCCCGCTCCTTTGTCTGTGATTTCAATTTCCATTGAAACTGAATCTAATCACATGCTCACTGCCTGCTGATCCCGGGCCGCCCGGCCGGTCCTGGATTCCTGTCCTAGGGGGTTGAACCTCCTCGTCCAGGGAACAACACGGAGTATGGCCAGAGCCCGTGCATCCTAGCATTTCCCTATATGGCATACAGCATAGCACAGAGGATGCCGCATCTGCATGGCATTCTCTACGTGAGCGCGTTTGTGCGCTTGCGAGTTGCCTGAAAATTATGGTATCGCATTGTTCAAAGCTGGAACAATGCCATAAATGGCACATGCCAAATATTTTCGTTGGCAAAGGCATACGCTGGAGAAAGGCATGGAAAATGATCGGAAGTCCTAGTCAAATCTGGGCCAAATTTGCATTTATTAAATTATATTTATAGTTATTATTATTTATGCAATCTTGTGGTCGGTCCATTATAAAATCGTATCAAATACTACAAGTTCGAAATATACAAAGACTAATTTTCGAACAATACTTACAGAAAGTGTTTTTCCATTGACATGGATTTCAAAATATTTGTTCTGCCCATGTTTGTATTTTTTGGAATGTTTAAAAGTTTGCAATTGCATATGTCAAGCATATTAATTAAAAGACCTTGTCTGAAAAGTCCTTTTTTTTACCGTAGAGTAGAGTAAGTAGGGTAAAAAGGGTATACTAGATTCGTTGAAAAGTATTTAACAGGTAGAACGAAGCGTTTCAGAACCTATAAAGTATATAAATATGTCCGTTTGTTGTCCGTCCGTATAAATGTCGAGATCTCTGGAACTATAAAAGCCAGAAAGTTGTGTATAAAGTTGAAAGTTGAATATAATAGAATTAGATACATACAGGTACATTTCGCTAATTTAATAAGTTATCCATAAAATACGTTATATTGCATACGGTATTGCACATAATTATTATAATAGATTATCCAGAAACGAAGAGCTTAAACTAAGAGGCTCTATTGGCTGGTAAATTCGAAATAACTTTAGGCAGATACTTTGAAGGCATGAGTTCTGCCATAGGTTCCCTAGCTAAGCAGTCGTTTAAATCCAGAGCCAGCATCTCTATCCTCCTGTCAACTGCAATGCCCACTAATGACTCTCCACACTTCAGGCCTCGCAGGACATTTATGTATCAGTGGCGGAGTGTGTGTGTGGAGCTGCCTGCAGTCGTTTAGTCCTTAGAATAAGTCAAACTAGGAGCACGGGCGACAGACCTAATGACTTCGCGCATGATAAATTTAATAATTTGCGCTGGCAACTTTTCCATTTGGCCTTTGTTTGCGCTTCCCTCGTTTCGTAGGGCAAATTTTTGTGTCAGATGTTCGGGGCAGCAGTCACCGTATGCCATTATTTTCAATGAAATCCGGAATCTGGACAGCCCCTCTAGGCAATGCACCATTTGCAGTGTGATTGTGAGAGTTCTTTCGGGTTTCGGGTTCGGGTTCGGGATTGGGATTGGGATTGGGTTTATTTGCAATCGCAGTGGACTCACCCTTGCTGTAATTGTTCTGGGACTAATTCAGTTTATATATGCAGCATTTACATTGCAATTTACGGCGCTTCAGCTAGGGCCAACAAAATCATTTCGACTTTTCAACCCCGAATTTGAAATTTAAATTTTCGGTTTTTTCATTTTATGGCCACATTTTTATCAATCCATATACATATAGATGGGCATTTGTCGCTGGTCCGTATCCGGGTCCCCGGATCCCCGGATCCCAGGTCCGGCAACGGCAATGAGGAATTTCATTATAATTTGCATAATTTATGCGCGACCGTGATTTGCATAATTAAGATTTGTACATTTGTGCATGCCAGTCATCATTAGCTTAGGCTCCGCACTGCGGACCAATTGTAAATGGCTAGATGGCTGGCCCGGGGATTTTTTGGCTCGTACCTCGCGATCCGTCAAGGGGTTGTCATGGGTTAATGGATGACCCTCGAACTTGGCCGCGGGTATGGACATAAGTGCATCTATTCAATATGTGAGTATCTCAACTATTTCAGCTTGGGAAATTATTCAATGCTATTTTAACCAAGACAGTTACCTAATATTTCATAGTGAATATAATGAAAAACTGTTCTCCATGTTAAGGTATCTGCCATTCGAGTTGTGGACAACTTACAGCCCTGACTTTTTCGTCAGCGAAAATTACAATTGCAAAAGCCCAGAAACCCAAACGAAACCCCAATTTAATGTTCGGGTATGCGCAAATTAGACAAAACCATAGAATCCTTGATTCTGTGGGGCTTGGCTCGAACTAACAGCACTCCATGGGGCAATGTGAATCAATCATTAGCATTTTATTGTTGAAAACCCAATTTGGCACATTTATGAAGAGGCATTTGCTGCCCTCCGCACCAGTTTGTCCCCTCTTCGGAGATTCAGTTGATGCCTGGCTATAGGCTTCCTAACCTTATTATCGATGTGCTTTCCTTATATTGGCAATATTTATGGCAGCCCTTGACGGTCCGCCTAATGATTCCCCAGCGTATCGTTTTCAAGGTAGCACTTCCGATCCCCAAGCCACAGACACACAAGAACGCACTCCTGGCAGCGCCATATTTTATTTCGTTACTTTTATTGGCAGACGTCAACGAAATACAAAAAATGTGCCAATTGTACGCTGGGGAAATCGCTGCCGACTTGCGTGCAAAGTAAGATGCGAATGAAGATATATTTATCGCTCATTTCCGGCCTGACAGGCTGGATGCGCTTTTGCCATTCGCCATTCGCCGAAAGTTCTGCCAGCCAGGATAAACTTGGCCCATTTTGGCTAACAAAGGAGAACACAATAAGCATTTGGAAGTCTGTCATTGCTATGTCGCAAAAGAAAAGATTTGGAAAATATATATGTGTGGAAAAATAAGCGAATTAATTCACTTTAATTTTCAAGTTCAATCGTTCGCCTAGTCACAAGTTACACAACTTATGTAGGTGCTGCCGCCTTGAAGGCAAACCCGAAATACTGTGCGGTCTGCTTTGTTTTAATCTAATCCCCGTGAAAGCCATCACACTCTAAATAATTACCGATTTGCACACAAAACGTGCCTCGGAAAAAGGAAACTGTAACGCACAGAATTTGATTTCGCCACTTTGATAGGATTTCTCATCCATTAGCCGAACTGAATGGATTGCGTCGAGCTCTTATTGATTACATCTAATGCCCATCATATGCGCTCTGCGTACCACCAAAAAAGGAAATAAAAAAAGCAGCGAAATAATAATAATTTCAGACAAAGGCGAAGCGTGCAATATTTTATCAAATTATGCGATGTATGCAACTTCCTCTGCAGCGCGAATCCTTAACACCCCGCTGCCCAGCCAGGCGTACTTACAATTTATCAGCATCAAATGGAAACCAAACAGCGAGGGTGAACCTGAACCCAGTTACTTTCCAGAGGGGCTTGGGGTGGTAAGCCAGCTACAAAACAACAATAACAGTGCCGGAGCAATACCAATTCGAATTAAAATGCTGCTGATGCCGATGCCGATGGTGATGGTGATGGTGATGCTGGGGCGGAGGACGAGGACGAGGCTGAGGCGGAGGCTGAGGATTCGGCACCACCCCCAAGGGTGGCAAAGGGGTTGTTTGTCGGTTTCCCTTCGGTTCTTTATACATTTCGATTTTTTCTTCTTTTTTTTTTTTGTTTTGCGCGCGTTGTTGCAAATGGATATGGAATGTTACACAAACAAAAGGGGAGTAGGGTGGCCGTGTGGAAGTCGAAAAAGAAGAGCTCGAATCCAAGCCGAGCACCAAAAGCAGAGCAGGATGGAACAAAAACACAAAAAATTGCAGGCCCGGACCACCACGCACAGGACACAGAAAGGACCACGCAACCGGGACCCGGGCGAAAACAATGGGCACAACTTTGATACGAGCACCGAGGGCAAAGGACGAAGGACGCAGGACGCAGGACGCAGGACGCTGGTCCGTGGGAGGATCAGCAGGAGGAGGCGCAGGCTGGATGGACCCAACAATCCCCAAGTACAGCTCGGTAAATGCCGACTGAGTCACCTCTGGTCTCTGGCCTACACAAATAGAAATCATAAATCAAACTCTTAAAATAACAAGACGAATCTATATTTCGGTGTATATTCTGTATAAAAAACTAGAAACGTTATACAACAAAGCCTCTTAATGGTTAGATAAAGACTAGATAAAATACATAGAATGTAGAATTGATAGAATAACAGATAAATAATTTTGCATATAAATAAATAAAATTGTTTTAGACGTTTCCAAATAAATTATGGCCATATCTGACTAAAATGTATTACAGATTAATGGGAATACTCTGAAAATGCTCTATTTCTAACACATCGAATCGAAGTTCCCTTCGAATTATCAGTTAATTTGATCTGATTAGCTGGCTGTTTTTCAAAGTGTACTAAGTCGATGTTGCTGATGCCCCTCGGTGCGATTTGGGATTATGCGTCGTTCGGCAGCGTGGCACACGCATTTTTGATTATGCCCCTAACCAAGAGGCAGCCATGGCCTGCAATTACAATCGTAGTCCAGGTAACGGCAGAAGCCATTCGATATAGTGAACTACGCCTAGGAGTATGTACACCCCCGGCACAATTTGCAGCACACAGTGCTGGGGAGAGTCAACTTTTGTTCGATTCCGTTCCTGTTGCTGATTTTGATGAATTATGCACTCCCCCGGCTGTTGTCCTGGTTTGCTGGGTGGATGCTCGTCGACTGCGGGATGACAGTCTGCAGCAAATGGCTGGGCCGGCTCTAATGATGTGTCCTTGTTCCTAATGCTTTCAGCACGGCACTGCGATTAGGCCAGACTTCCATTCGGAAGAGGTGTGCAACGCCGGCTGATTTCTGTGCCGAGATATTGAATAATGCACGGCCGGGGGAAATTCGATTCCCAGCTGAATTTCGAGCCGCCTGCTTTCCCATGGGAATATTTTCAAATCAGCTCCTGCCGCTGGGCGAAACGCTCGATTGCACTTGAAACAAAAGCCTGGCTTACACTTGTCATTGAACCTAGAACTAAATTGAACAGTGTAGATTTCGGAAGGCAGACAGCATTTTATTGAATGCTTGAATGCTGTTTAGAAAATATAGCTATTGGTTTTCCTTCCAAGCTGTTATCAGATATCTTTGGCTGTGTTGGTCAGCGCAAAGTCTTCCCCAAATTACTTTTCGAAGCTGGCAGCTTCCAGCTCCGATATCCTTTAATCAGGACATCCTTTAATGGCCAGCGTGCAGCGGAGCGTCGATGTGACAGCGGCTGAGCCAGGGATTCATAACAAATTGTTGCGCTGACGTTGATTAGACGCTCGCTGGACGGCAGCTAGTAACCACCAGAGCTACTCAAACTGACAGGGCAGAGTCGTTACACTGAAAGAAATTGGAAAGATCCAGCGTATTGTCGGGAAGGGAAGTTCAATTAAAAGTTTTCAGGCTAGTAGCAAACATAACGATTACACATTAAACTTACATGAGGCATTAAACTTACACACACAAAAGACCTTAATCGCTGGTTGCTCAAGAATTCGCGTGTTTAAAAGTCAGCATTATTGGGCCAAATTGGATTTATTTGCATTCCCACCTAATAGCCCAGATTGGGCCAACATTTTCAAGAACCTTCATCCGCTCAGTGCAGCAAATCCCCTCGGTTGTGGTCCAGCATCAGTCACATCTCCAATTGAATTGAATGTACGTGTGTTCCTGACGGACGGAGCCGCCTCAAATTTTGTTTAGTTTCGCTATTCTTTGGTGTTTTTTCCTTTTGGCTTGGATGGCGGAGGTGCGGAACACTGTTAATGACTGATTGTGCGTTTCTCGGCGCTTCGCCAAATGGAATTTTGATTGCATCCGCTTACGTGCCGCCTCCCTGGGAGATCATTAAGGGAATCCATCTTGGTCTAGTTAAATGTGTCACGTCAGCAATTATTTGGCCACATGAGGCACACTCCATTTCGTTTGGCACAGAGCGGGGGAAGACATCAAAATAATTTCGGCATAAATGCGCAATTTCTTGGGTTCCATTTTTGCATTTTGGACGATTCTCATTTATTTTATTGTGCAGTCGAGCGCATAAAATGTGCAATAATAAATATAAATGCTGGCTGCCGACCGGCGACGACTTTGTCCGCTCCTCCAATTTCCACTTCCCCATGCCGCTCGGACTTAAAACTTTATGTGCATATAACATTTCGTAGCCAGGAGTCCGGACTTTCGGTCGGTTGGAGAGAGATGGACTTTTGGTCGCTGGCTGGCATCGTTAACATCATCAGTGAAGCAGTCAAATGCTAATAGCTGCCATTTCCTGCAGGTCCGGCATCGGAGAAAAACCGAGAAAAGCGGAGCCGGGAGCGTTCAGGAAAATTATGCGCACAAGCGAAGTTGGGTTCTTCTCGAGGCTGAGCTTCTACTCAGTCTAGTCTTTTTTTATGTACATTCTTCATCTGTATGCTTTTCCCGGTTCACTCAGTTTGTTTGTTGCCTCTCCACTGATTATGCTTTGCAAACTGCAAAAACTGCAAAAAAGAAGTAGTAAAATAGTAGTTGTGGTAGTGGAAAAAATGAACGAGAAAAATAACTGCAAGAGTGGGAGAAAATACTACGAAAATGTTGCATTTCTATTGTAAGTTCCCAACACGCCATTTACATTTTAGAATATGCAGCAAATTAAAACAGGAAGCAACTTTAACGAGGGGCAGAATATTTTAGAATTTCAAGTGCGCTTTAAAATCTGAAGTACCCTTTAAACGGACCTAAGCTGTATCATATTTTTGACAGTTTAAATGTTTCATTTCAATCAAAAACAATGTCGTTTCTTTTTTTAGCTATATTTTGCAGGGTAAAGTCATATGTTGCGCATATTGGTTAAATAGACTTTCACATGCTTGCATCTGTAGATGAGATATAAGAACGACAAAAGATTAACCTCACAGCAGCAATCCATCATTTATACAAAATGTAAGATGATGAGGTTAGGAATAAAAAATGTTAATGAATGTAAAGCTCCGATGCGCAAGTCTCCTCCTTTCGCGCATCCTTGAAGGACCTAGGTCCTTGAAGATCTCCCTTATCTCCTCGGCGGTCTTGGGTCTCATCGTTATTAGAAAAGACTAATAAAGACTAATTATAATATCTCAAACTCCATTGCCAAAATCAACCGCGACAAGAAACACCACTCATAATAATACGAATCTGTTTTTTGTTTGCAACTGATGGATTTAAAGAGCTAAAAAAGCACGCCATGCTAAATATTCTTGTAATAAAGACATTCCACAAATCATTACGACACAACCGCAAAATACGAAAACCCTGTGGAAACTTTTTGACGTTCGAGTAAGAGAAACACTGGAATGACGACATAATACCAACATCAGTAAGAGAAAAGGGAAGAAAAAAAGTTTTGCCAAAGGACACCTCCGCGCACTTGAGTCCTTTTTTCTTTGTCATTCTTTGACAGGCCCAGATAAATTGAATCAAATGAGGAACGAACGAAGACGTCGAGCAACGAAACTTTGCATGCGTCGAAATTCAATTCTAATTAACATAAATTTCCACAAATGAATGTCAACCGCAAAAGGTAGTCTCGTAGCAAAAAAGGGGCTAAAGCGCAATACTCAGTGTTTATACGAGCAAATTATTCTGAAATGTAAGGCAAGATTTTAAAGCTCATCAGATGAATAACTAAGAAATTAATATTTAAGTTCCTATGGCTTAATCTTTTGAATAAAGCTTGAATCCTACAAATAATAGCGCTGAGTTTGTGCAAACATTTCCTTTAAAATATACCGCATAAACGTAATATCAGATCCACACGTCCTCACTGGCAACTTCTAATTTAATTTATGTAGCGAGGCAACTTTTTCAGCAGTCATAAGTTAAGCCTCCCCTCGAAACTCAACCTCGAATGTCCTGGAGACTCACGCACAACAGGTGTGGAGTGGGCTTGGATTGGGCGCCCTGGAGAGCGCTTAGTGGAAGGTTCCAACTTGATCCTGAGTTGGTGGCACGTGTGGGTGAAACACAAAGTCTTTCCTGGATATCCTGGGCGTGGCATCTCGCCCACAGCTTCCGGCTGCTCCTTTGCCGCAGTTGTCCTGTCTGCTCCTAGCAGCTACTAATGAGCTGCACAACAATAGCAAATATTATTTGAGTGGAATTTATGTTTGGAGCGAGAGATTGGGGCTTTGTTTGAATGGAATTTTGGGGCTATATTTAGTAGACAACCCTCCTTTGAGTATGCCAACTATTTCGATTCCGACGTAAAAGGAATAATTCAGCTTATTATTTTAATATTTTCCAAATATTTGTGTAAATATTTACAGCTACAATTAATATGCAAACTAAAAAATAATATGCAATTAGCGTAATTACATACGAACTAACCAATGCAGTTAGTCTACTTTTTATAAACTACTCGTAAGCACAAAGATAAATTAATTATGTTATTATGCAAATTTAAGTGAACATTTTTTATGCAAGATAACATGTACATGGTGCCTTTTGTTTAATCTAAATAAGTGCTTTAATTTCTCTATTGTTTTAATGAGCCATGGCTCAAAAACTAAATCCAATGATACATGGCTTTGGTGTTACGAGTAAATTATTTACAGTGAAATTACATTTAAAAACATGTTTTTCAGAGTATCAAGCACTCGTTTTGCGCCGTGGTGCCTGTTCAACTTTCTGACTCCGTCTTTGGCTTTGTTCTTGGGGCAAAAGTTACCGGAAACGGAAATGGCATTTTGTGTTCTTCTCCAATTCGAAGCGGGCCGCTGGGGCGGGCAAAAAAGTTGACTTAACTTTTCACTTGAAGTTGCCGAATAAACTTTAAATGAAGCAGTAGGAGCAGAAGGACGCGGTGCAGCGATGCAGATGCACATAGTACGGCGAGTCCTTCGGAGGCAACAAATTTCGGCGGAGGCTGTCAGGACGAGGGTTGGCCCTTTCCCAGGGACATAGATAACGGAACGGCGGCGCATGTCAGGATCAGAATCAGGATGCGCGGACGATATGCAAATTAGACACAAAATAATAGTGAAAAAATGAACAAGCGAACAAAGTGCCAGGCGAATGTAAATGGAAAACAAAGTAAATTCCACTCGAATCCCTGCACGTAGCTCGCGGCCAAGGTGGTGCGTTCCATTTCCAATAATAAAGGGTGCATCTGGAGCAGCAGCCCTCGTCCTTTGGCCATTCGATATGCACAGCGTCATAAATAATGTTCAGCGTTTAATTTCATTTCCATTTTACGATATGATATTTGCAGGCACAGGACTTCGCCGG